GGAGCAGCGTGATCGAGGGAGGAGGTGTCCCTGCCCATGGCAGGGGGGGTTGGGACTAGATGATCTGTAAAGTTCATTCCAACCCTTAAAATCTATAAGTTTTTTGAACACTAATGATCAGAACATATTCTCCATTTGCAGCTTACAGAGGAAGTAACCATTTCAGACTTCAAAAGGGACATGTTTTGGGAACTGAAGTGCCTTAGTGCATTGACTTTGGTGCAAGATAGCAAACAGTGGAATTCATTTAGGAGAATTTCTATTGGATAATACTGTTTTAACTATAAGACTGTTTGGAGCCTGCCATGGCAATCCATGAGATTTTGGTACAGCGGAGGAACTAGCAGAATCCAAGTGTCTGCAGGGAACAGGTCTCTACATTCTACTTCTCCTGTGGAAGAGTCTCAACCGTTAAGCCCAAGCATCAGCCTTTTTATTTACTTATTTCTCTAGAAGTACTTTGAATCAACTGAAGGCCAAAGCTGGACACAAGTTATCTTCTGAGACTCTATTAAGGGTCTAGAAATCCCTTCAGTTTTCATTCCCAGGGACCACCTAAGACTCTTAGATCCATCTGAGACTCAGCAAAAATCTGCACATGGAAGACTTGAAATGTTTAACATTAATAATTTTTTTGGAGTGAAAACAGAAGCAAAAAAAAAAGCAAAAAAGCCTTGTCTGAAATTGAGACAGTTTTAAGCAAGATACTGGTTTATCCTAAAGAATAAGTCAAACATTATGAAACTATTCCTCAGTCACAAGGGGGGGGGGGGGGACAAAGGCATGAATTTAGGTCTCTGATCCTGCAAAAAAAGAGTCTCTTCCATAAGTGAAAACATTCCTATTGAAGAGTAACACATGGAAAATTACATATAATTTAAATTCTACTGTCATAAAATGTTTCCAGGGTCAGAAATTTTGTTGTTTACACATGCACGAGAATTTAATCCTCTCAAAGTGTGGTGGTTTGACTTCTGAACACACAAATTGTTCATCAGTCCATTCAAAATGGAGGAAAAAATCCAAATAAAACTAAAATCAACATTTAAAACTAACAACTACTGAATGGATAATGTTCCTGTAATTTTTCAGTGCCAAAATATTCTTCAGGCTATGAACTTATTTAATTTGATGTATGCACAGACCCACTGAAGTTACTGCCCTTGACAGACTTAAACCAGCTTAACCTGGAGAAAATCTGACGACACATAGATTAGGATATTTTTGCACATTAAGTATGTTGCATTAAAAAATGTGTTCAAGAAAACCTTCCACACTTTGATTAAAACTGCAATTCTGTATCAACACTGAAACACTTAAGATGCTTTTCTTTTACTGACAACTCTGAGAAAAACCCACAACTATTCTGATTTCTGAAGTGGAAAGCAGGAATCACACTTCATGATCTCTGCTCTCAAAGCTTTGCATTTTAGATCAATAGTAGGTAAAGTAGATAAAAAAACCCAAGAGGACTTAATTCCAGGTGAAACTGGAACTGAAGGCAAACACAAACCTGATGAACTCCAAAAAGACACACAACAAAATGAGAGAAGGGGAGAACAGACAGGCTCAGTCACTATTTCTGTCTATGCAGCATGGAAATGGTTAGGTATTTGCAGCTAACTGTTGCAGATAATTCTTATTGCAATTTATGGCTGAGAAATTCCTCTACCTCACATTAAAATGTGCCTGACACTGGTGTTTTCACACAGGCAGTATCTTAGTTTAAATCCCTACATAAAACCCAAGAGGATTCCTGCAGGAGCTTACTGTGACATACCAGGTAGTAAAACTGGCGAGTCACACTCAAAAAGGAAAATATGCTGGAAAACATCACTACTCTTAAAACTCACCTGAGCACCAATCGATGAGGCCGGGGGTGGAGCAGAACTGACTAAAGCTTTCCAGCAGCTCACGTATATTACCACTAGAGAGCAGCTTGACATTTAAGTAAGCTCTTTGCTCCCACAATAAAATAAGATTCGCATCAAGTAAGCAAATTGTTTCTCCTAATAGATGGTAAATTTCCATTTACGAATGGAAACAGTCTCATGAACTGTTTTCACCTTTAATCAACCAGAGGGATCGGTGTATGTCCCTTACAGCTTGCCAAAGCTACTACACATGGCTGGAACCCACTGGTAATCATTTCTGTCAGGCTTAAAACTCTTCTGTATCTCTCCTCATGCAGATTAACCCTTGAAAGTTTTTTTCCTACCCATATCAGGCAAAAAGGGCTAATAAAGACAGAACTAGCTTCTTCCCAACGAGCAGAAGTGGTTTAAGTGGGCTCGTTCCTCCCTTTCCCTTCAGTTACCACTTTTTATAAAAAACAAAATAAAATTGTGCTTCAGGAGCTTAGGAAAAGAGAAAAAAAAACCCAAAAAAACCCACAACAAAACCAACCCCCCAAAACCCCAATACACCTTCCTGATGAGCACAGGATAGTAGTAAGGAACAGGATTAAATTCACCGAGTCACAGCAAAAGTAATACTATTAACCCGCACTGTGTGTCCAACCACAGGCAGGAAGATAGGTACTAACTGTTCCAAATGCTTAATTCTGTATACCTGTTTGTGTCAGTGTTGTCTCTTGGGCTTTATTTCTTTCTATAAAGCCATTTTAAATCCATGAAAGCTTTGTCAAAGCAGCCTCCAATCAGTGTGCCTTAAATGGGCTCTGTAATTGAACTGGTTCCTTAAATGAGTTCTGTTAATTAGTCCAGGCTTCAAAACATTTCAGAACTCTCCTTTATAGATTAGGCACCCCCCACACTCAGCCAATTTTTAATTACAAACAGCAATACCAAAACCAATACTTTAAAGGAACAAAGAAATACCCAGTAAATTCCTAGAGTTTCCACATTATCGTATTTGCCAGCTGCCACACAGGATCCTATCTGCATTTCTCACAGTTCAGATCTCCCTTTTTAAGTCAGTTATATCCTGGAGAATATAAAGCAGGCAATTATATACACATTCACTTTTAAACCCACGAATAAGTCTCAGATTGTTGAGTAAAAGCTACTTTAAAACACTTCAAGGCCACAACAAAAGCAATAGACAGATACAAAACAGACTTAAAGGATCCGTTAAATTAGATGCACAGCTAAGATCTCAGTAGCAATTACTCCACATCACTGTGGCAGGAAACATTAAAAGTTTACATATAAAGCATCATAGAAGGTATGGACAGATATGAAGGGAATCAAGTCAGGCAACTGATATCAATTCAGTGAAGGTGACTACACTGCTACAGACCTGACAGAGGTATCACTGCTGTACTAAACACTGTTCAGAACAGGACAGTGAACAGGCTATAAACAGACTGCACTGGTGCACTGAAGTTTTGCTTCTCTGCATTCAGGGATTGCTGGGGCTTTTGCTTCCCTTATCATTTCATCTAAGATTTGGTATATGCAACCAGGAGAGTGGAAAATGAGGGAATGCACATGTTATTACCTGGTCTAGTGAAGGTGTCCCTGTCCATCCAGGGGGTTGGTCATACACCATCTTTAAGGTCCCTTCCAACCCCTCAATATTTTATAGACTCACAGAAGCATTAAGGTTGAAAGAGACCTATGAGATCATCAGGTCCAACTGCTAACCTGTCCCTCCACTCTGGTTCTACTGGATTGGGAACATTAGGAGGTTTGTGACCCTCTCATGGGACAAAGGGTCCCCACGCTACAGCACTGCACTGAAATGTGTTCTCTGGTAGGTGACAAACTGGATCAGAACAGGTGCAGCTGTTGCTCAGCGCTCTTTAAAAAACAAACAAAACCCATACCTGCCTGTCACCAGAAGTTACGCAACTTTAAAAAAAACCCCAAAAGGAAACACACCCCTCCATTATTTCCAGAGAAAAACTGGGTTTCCAGAGAAATTTCCAGAGACATTTCCAGAAAAAAACCCTGGATTTCCAGAGAAAAACTACAGTTACAAGTAATTTTTCCAACCATCTCCAGTCAAACTTCCTGAGCTACCAGGGACATTGAAGCATTCAGCATAATAATTACAGACCAAAGGATGTTCTTTCACAGGAAACTAAAACCCAAAAATCCATCTAACTGGCATAATCAAAACCTATTTTGGTTGCTTTACTCACTTCCCTTCCCAGGAAACAGGATCAGGCTAATGACATTCTACCCATTTTTAAGTGACGATATTTTCAACTGGTTTAGCTGGACAGCACAGATTACACTCCTTCAGGCCCTACTCAAATTCTTTCAAGAGATGTAATTGTTCAGCCCTAATTCTTGATCGCATTTACAGTACATAAAGAATCCTGTTCATCATCTCTAGCTATATCAAAACCTACTGTGATTCTCTGAAATGAACAAGATTTTTAAGTGTTCTCATCCCGCAGCAATAAATATTCATTCAGCAATCTGTCAGACACCCAACTTCAAAAGACAACTGGCTTGGAGGCAAATACATGTTAATTATGGCTTTTGAGTCCTTCAGCAACTAAAGCTGGAGACCTACAGTTCCAAACAGATTTCACTGATTCTCTTTTCTTTGTTCTTAAAAAGAAGAAATAGGGGGGGAAGAAGGCAGAACAGAAAGATCAAGAAGTGTAAGGGAATATCTTAGTATAACATGACCACAATGCTGCAATGAAAATTACCTGGCCTTGCAGTCCAGCAGGTCAACATGACTTTATTTGATGTGTTCAAAAGTAATTGGACCATGCTGGCACATATGATGTAAAAAAACAGCACCTTTTTTGACGTTGGGGAAAAAGTTAATTCAGAGTCTAACATCTGAGTGTTAATCAGACATTCATCACAAACACACCAAAAAAAAATCCCTTTCATAGCAGATTTAGAAATCTATAAAGTAGATGAAAGTAGATTTTCACTAGTAATTAAAAGCAGTTCAAAACATAAGAGTATTCATCTCATTCCAGGCAACAGAAAGGTAGAGGAAGAAAGAAATAAAAATCATTATTTTTACCTTTTCTAGCTTTTTAGCCTCAATATGTCGCAGCACCTGTTCCCTCCAG